GGCATTTTAAATCCTGCTTCTTACGGTCCCTTTTGGTATCCTGGGTTCTTTGAAAATTCCCGGGCCCACTTTTCCTCTTACTTGGAAAGCCGAAACGCAGTGCCCAACACACTTAAAGGTGATAGGGCTTTTTAAGTTGCGGGAGGCCAAAGTTTTCACCACGAAACGGATGTATGGGCGAAGGACACGGCTACCTGGATGGATGTTAACTTAGGTCGCGATCCCGACGGTGAGTGTGGTGCCAAAAGTGTCTGTTGTAGCTCCTGTTTATAGTAAGCATTAACATGGACAGCAGATGGCTAAAAGGATGGAAGGGTGGATTGATAGGGTGATGGATGGATAGTTGAGTAAGCGGATAGAGAAATGAGTAATTGGGTAGACGGACGGACGAATGGATGGATGCATGGAAGGATGGATGAACTGGTGGGCAGTTGGTTTAATGAATGGATGAATGAGTATATGCACACAAAACAGAAATGCAAATATGACAGTTCTCTGTATTTCAGACTAATCCATATCTCGTTCTTCCAGGCGGCCCGTGTCGAGTCTACAGCAAGCGTCTGCACCTGAGTTATCAATGCTCTGAAACATTCAACAAAAGTCATTTTTTTACCGTTTCTGGGTATTGATAAGGATCACAACCGTAGACCAAGTTACTTTGCCTTCAACTGCAGTGGCATCCCAGAAGGTCAGTTCTTGCAGCTATTGGGCAATTTCCTCCCTTTATTCCAGTCTCCTTCGTTCAGTTCTTAGTTTCCGGTCAACCATTTAGTTAGGGATGGGAAGGAGTCTGGTTATGTGTGTCCGCGTCCGTTTTCAGCACTATCTGCATTTACACTCTTATAGGATAGGGAATGCTGTTGCCTTGGCACATGCTCAATGTGGCATTCTAAATACTTTGCCAAGATTGAAGCCGACGGTATCGAGATATGAGATGTGCAAACATACCCTCTGTTCAAAGAAGCGATAGAGCTAAGACTAACGTGTGACGTTTCGAATCAGAACTGACTCATCATCAGTCACTTCGATTTATCGTCTGATAGGAAATCCAAAATGGCTCGGAACGGGACGATTTTGAGTGAAATGATTAATTTTCTTTTTATTCTCTATCTGCTCTGTTTCATCAATGTGGCATGTTGGTATTTGCTTCATGCATTTATGTATTAGTAACCACTTTTATCATTTGACTCTGAGTTCTATCTCATTAGTTTGCAATTGTTTTGTTCTGATTCCGTAGAATATTTTCAAATCATAATAGTAATAGTTTTAATAATAATAGTTTTTGACGATCTCGAGTAAAGGAATACTGTCATTATACTAACATTACAATTGATTGTAGTTCCTCTCAACATTATCACATTGTAATGAATAACAGTGCCATTTTAACATCATTACCATCATCGTTTATTGTAAATATTAGAGATATTTTTTTTTATGATGTTTGCCATCAATAGTACATTAAAGCTATTGCATGTTTATTCCCATTTGCCCATATACTTTCAATAAGAAAAATATGTACAGGATAACTGTATGTGTGTATGTGTGTGTGTGTGTGTATTGATATATATGTATATAAATATATAAATAAATAAATAAATAAATAAATAAATAAATAAATAAATAAATATATATATATATATTATATATATAATATATATATATATATATATATATATATATATAATATATGCATATATATACACATATATGTCTGTCTTTCTCTCTGCCTAATTTGATACCTGATTAGATTGTACAAGTAAATATATTTATATTTAATTATTTATATGTTTATAAACATATACATACACACACACACACACTTACACTTACACACACATATGTAATATATATCTGTGTGTACATACGAAAGAATGATAAATAAATACATATATTAATAAATTGATACATATTTATATGTATATATGTATTTATGTATGTATATATATTTATGTATACATGTATATATATGTGTATGTTTATTTATTTATCTATTCATTTATCATAATTTGTGTGCATATATATATATATATATATATATATATATATATATATATATATATATATATATATGTATGTATGTATGTATATATACATATACATATATATACACATATGTGTATATATATACAGACACGAACACACACACACACACACACATACCCGTATATACAGTATATGTATATGTTTATGTTCATATCCTTAAAAATGCATATACACATACATACACACAAACTCCAACATATACATGCACACACAATTGTCTATATATATGAATATATATTTGTGTATATGTTAATTTATATATACGTATACGCACACACACGGACACATATGACAGAGCTGCGAGGGAACAAGGCAATGTCATATCACAATGTAATCATATATGAATCCTACTTTTTCAGGAAGGAATTTGATAAACACAGGAAGTAATATTGAAGAAAAAAAAGTAGATTCTTTATTAACACTGGTATTGATTTCGGAAAAGCATATATAATGTTTCCATCAAACATGTCAGAAGCATTACCAATTGCAGAAATATTGGTATAATTATATCATTATCATCATTACCATTTTCAGTAGTGTCAGAAGACGTTCCTCACAAAACGGAACTTCGGTCTCCGTTGGAGATCGTCTCTCACAAAACGGAACCTTGGTTTCCGTTTGCGATCGTCGCTGCAGTCGTCGTGGTCGTCATCGGCGTCGTCCTGGTCGTCATCACCGCCGTCTGGGTCGTAGTAAAGGTGAGGAAGTCCAGGTCGTCGAGCCAGGCTGCAATTCCCGCCGACGACCTGCACGACCCTGGCCGCGATGACCGAGAGAGCGAGCACGAGTATTGGGACATCGACTCGGTCGTCTTGAGGGCCCAGCTGGAGGAGAGGAGGGCGACGCGCACACGGCACGACGGAGGGACGACCAGCCTGCACAGGTGCAAGTCCGAGAATTCCTTGCACGGGGCAATCCGTAACGGTGTGAGTTACGAGTGTATTAATCCCTTATACGGAGCAATCCATCCCGGTGTGAGATGCAAGTCCGAGAATTCCCTATACGGAGCAATCCATCCCGGTGTGAGACCCAGAGGGAGGAATAGAGTGGGGAGGAAAACGATGCCTCTGATGCATGACCGAGAGAGCGAGCACGAGTATTGCTACATCGACTCGCCAGTCATGAGGGCCCAGCCGGAGGAGAGGAGGGCGACGCGCACACGGCACGACGGAGGGACGACCAGCCTGCGCAGATGCAAGTCCGAGAATTCCTTGTACGGGGCAATCCATCCCGGTATGAGACCCGGAGGAGGAGTAGAGTGGGGGGGGGGAAACGATGCCTCTGATGCAAGAATCTTCAGTTTGAATTCCTGTAAACGTTCGTGTCTAGCGCACGATCTGCATTTGCACTCGTATAAGTCAGGGAATACTGCTGTCTTGGCACATGCTCAGCATTGCTTCTAGATACTCTGCCAAGATTGAACGGAATGTATAAAGATATTAAAAGCAAATATTGTATTACAGACAAGAATTCTAACTCCATCTTTGGAATAACATATTTCCACTTTGTTATTTAAGGGAAAGTGATTTTAGGAGAACTTTCTATTTTAAGTTAGATCATAAACAAACTGCATTGGTGTGAAACAAAAGAACGAAGCCTGAATTGTGACGTTTCGAGTCCTATCGAACTCCTCATCAGTCCGTTTCGTTTCTTCGTCTGGCAGGAGTCCAAAATGGCTCGGAACGCCACGATTCAAAGAGCCAAATGTTAGTGGTATGTGTTTCATGCAGTTATACATGTGTGGCTGGTATTATCATTTGGCTATGAGCTCCAGCTCATTACTTTGCAATTGTCTCATTCTCATTCTGTTGCATATTTTCAAATAATATCAGTAATGCTAATGATCATGATTATAGGTATGTAATGTTACAATTAACACTAATATTGCTATTAAATGTAATGCCAAT